CCACTTCCAACGCTTGGATCCTGTAGAATTACCATCCGTCCGATTCCGATACTACCCCTTAACCATCAACTTCTCCGAAAATCTTTCATCTATCGATGATTGAGCTTATTCTCATATATTGAATCCATATACATACATTCGCCACATCAACATTACAAAGATTCCACAGCATTCAACACCCTTTTCAAATTTCACTACCTCAAAAACTCTCCAAGCGAAAGCCATCTGCTCTGTTTTCGTACCATTCCAACCATACCATCTTTAACGGTCATCCGATTCATCTTGACTTTCATGCTTCCGCATTTATCACTTCACGCCCCTAAGCCAGAACCAGCGCGACCGTAACCATCCATAAACCTCTCTATTCCAACTTCCCAAACCCATTCGCGAAACCATCACCACTTCCACTTTTCAAAAATTACAATAAACAACAAACAACATTTCAAAAACCATCCTTTCCATCACAAGTAATTCGATTCCTTCTCAAAGGGTAAAACCCACTTCCCCCAATGATAATTTTGATGATGTACAACCCGCGAAAACTACTCATCGATCAATCGCCTATCATAAAAGATCAAATTTATGCCTTCGACAAGCCAGCAGTCCTTCATTTGGCCCAACACGTTTTTACCTCATGCTTTCTATAATCTCTATACTCCGCCATATACCCCTTACGTCCAAGATGTTTTACACAAAAGATCATCTTAATGATTTTCATACCCAGGGTGTGGGTGGGGGGGGTGCGAGTGTGGCTGCGGGTGTGGGTGTGGGCGGGTGTGGATGTGTGGATGTGGGCGTGGGTGTGGGTGGGTGAACGTAGGTGTGGGAGTAGTTGTCTCTATATCTTATCCAAGCCACACCCACACCCATATCTACTGTTAAAAAAGTTCTGTTTCAATTGAACATTTTGACAGAAGAAATAATTGATTGGAATCAATATTGTTTGCATATGATCGTTCTGATTTTAAAGATATTCTGCTTGTAGTTTTCTATGAGCTTTGAAAAACACACTGATTATAATAAACGAACGCATCATAACCATCTAACTGTAGTGGTATATGAATAAATCACGAAATATCAGGAAAAAATTAGGAAAGTAATACGACTGCGATGCCTGGATATACGAAAAATGTTCGAAAACATCTTATTTATAATTATTATGTGTATGCTATAGCTATATAGGTTTCAATAGATAAAACAGAAAAAAAAATAATAATAACTAGAAAAGTCCGCTGAAAAAACAAATATTCACCAAGACTTTAGAAAAACAAAAAATATTCAAAAACATCTGATTTATACTGGTGAAAACTTCTTGGTACGATTCTCAACAGTTTAAACAAAATGAGAAGAAAATACTACCACATATTTATAGAAAACTGCGTTGAAGAAGCGAGTATCTGCTAGGACATTAGATAAACGAAAAATCTGTAGCATTCTTCTTATCGTAATCATCATATGTATTTCATGACTGCCTGCTAAATTGAGAAAATAAAAGAAAAATAAATATACCAGTCGAGACAGAAAAATCTGCAAAAGAAAACACATATCCACTAATACGTTAGATAAACCAAAAAAATATTCTACAGTATCTGATTTACAATAATTCTATGCATTTCAATGGTGGATGTTTAAATAAGTGAAACATGAGGAAAGAATATAATACATATAGTAAAGTGTGTTCAAGAGAGAAATATCAAATAGTACATTAGATATACGAAAACAATTCGTATGTAATGAACTTATGTGTGCTGTGTTTTCTATCGAATGAAAGAATTGAAAAGTCCTTCAGTAATTCGAAATGTCCGCTGGAAGAACAAAATATCCGCTGAAATGATATTTTCTTTTCCTTTCCAATAACGTATTTTATATTGTAAATTGTATTCGATAAGAATACAATTTAGACAGCTGACGGACTTTTAGTAAAGTGAGCATTTTTTGAACCTTTGACATTGCTGAGTCTTGTTAGTAAAAAGCGTTATTAGAAAACATCAAGTATTAAAATAATTTTATCAGATGTGTTTTTCACTCGTCGGTTGTATTTTTATCTCAAAAATATGAAAAACGACCTTCAAAGATCGATTGAGTACAATGCATTTTGGATGATAGCTTAAATATTACTTTTGAGTGTACATCTTCAATGTCTGTCCAACAACTGATTCATTAGTAAGTATTGTTTTATAAAATAAAATATTTTTATTTTTATTTAGAGTTGATTCGACAACTGATTCAATAGTGAGTATGAATTTGTGGCATTACGTTATTTTACTTTTATTTAGATTTGGTATAACATCTGATTTCATTGTAATATACTTACGGTGAAATCAGATGTTATGTCAAATGTAAATAAAAATAAAATATTTTAATGTTATAAATTCGTATTTACTATTGAATCTCAGGCAAAGAAACGTCGGAAAAAGTAGTGATGGACCGCCCAGCAATTTCAAAAATATTAAAAATTACGAAAACTCACGTAAATAAAACGATAGTTACGAAACCTATGCGAAAATAGATCTCTACCGCGATCAACTAGACTCTTTGGTTACTCTTCCGTAACTTCGTATTTTCTTTCGTAATATTTCGTTTCTTACGAAGCTCTTACGACCTATCACTAGGAAAAAGCGTCATGACGCGTAAAAATTTTAACGAAAATAAAATCGTAAAAATGTGCGCTTTTTACGATTTTATTTTCGTTAAAATTTTTACGCGTTTTTTTTTATTGTTTGACTGACTGGGTATAACTTGTACAAATGCACAATATTCTGAATTTCAAAAGAAAACAAACACACAGGCACACACACTTACACCTGGCTACCAGTGCCCGACATTTTTCCTTTCAAATGCTTATATAATGAGACAAGAGAATAAAAATCCACATAATGATGCTAATTAAATAGTGATTGGTCAATCGAATAACATTTGAGCATTTTGAAAATAATGTTTTATTTTCTTTTTCATGTACAAAATAACATTTTTGTGGTCGTTCACGATATTGTGTCGTTTTTAAACGTGTACACCATTTATCTGGTGTATATTCTACTGGTTTACGCTGTATCATTAATTTCAGACATCATTGTGATGTTTCTTTTGAATAATTCACATAAATCATCATGAGATTGCTTTTTGAAATTTTTGATATTGAATAACTACAAAACAAAACAAATTATTTCATTAATTTAAATTGTATCTTTTTCTTTACCTAAACGATTCCGCGGTGGGTAACGTTGATGTTGGTATTGTTGCTAAAAAAATTGTTCCATTTGAATAATTTCCATATAAATCATCAAAATTACCTAGTGTTTTTTTCACAAGGGTGTGGGGTGGGTGTGGATGTGGAGTGGGGTGTGGGTGTGGGTGTGTGAAGAGCATATTATCGAGACGCAGACTCGCAGCCAGAGCCGCACTCACATCCACCCAAAAAAAAACATTTAGAATTTAATTGAGTGACTTAGTAATTCATGATTGAAATCTGAAATTTCCTTATTAAGTATATCCAAATTATTTTTTTCTTTTTTTCCGGACCATATGGGTGAGCATGAGTGAGATTTGCTAAAAAACTGAATAGCATGATGGATGTGCGTGCGGGTGTGACCCCGCGTCTGGACAGTATACTCTTGACACACCCACACCCACACACCCCACACCCACACCCACTCATACCCACACCCACACCCCCACACCCACACCCTCAATATGGCTTTCGAGTAGTTTAGACAAACCACATATCGAAGACTATGTGTTAGTCGAAAAAATTGGAAATTATTTTCAAAATTATACCTTGATTAATATATTTGAAAGTTAACTGGATAACCATATCTCGATCAAGAAAAGCGAAACTCACGTGAAAACTGTATTTCGATTCTGAAAACTTCAAAATCCCTAAGAGAATAAAGTTTCGATCGAAAAATGTGAAAACTGTGCTTCTATCGAGAAAACCAAAATCATCTCGAAAAATATCTCGATCGAAAATGTTGGAGACGTGCTCAAATTCGTGCTACTGATGGTCACTGCAGTAGTATTATGGGGAGCGCCTTGGAATATAATATTTCGATACTATTCATCACGCAAAAATTTTCTTTGAAATCCAGCAAAATCCAGGTTTCTCCCTTGGGTTTTGAGCTCTTTCTCTTATTTTCGAACAGTTCTGTTTATTCGTCTTGACTTATCTTTGAAAGGCTACAAAATCGTTTTTGCCTATAATTTTGACTAAATGAACAATGACAACCTGATCCAGTCAGACATCACGATCGTAGAAGAAAGCAAAGCATCAGCTAAGCACGGATCCGAAAACACAACAACCTCATTGGAACATGTCTCGCACAGGAAAAGTTAAATATGACCTCTCATTTGCTAAAAAAGCATTTACTCCAGCCATTTTTCGCGTCATACCTTTGAATTTTGGAAAAATTATGTGCCCCATCAGTATGCCCCATTTTAAAAAAACTGTACCTCACAAATACCCCATTTGAGACCTTTTATACTCCATTCGACACCTTTGGAGTTGGCAGCCCTGCTATTATATCAAGTATTATTGTGTTCCTATATGCTAGAACTTCAATTCACCTTTCTTTGTTGCACAGGTAACTTAAAAACAGTATAATATTCTATATTACGCTTGAAATTATTATAATAAACAATTGTCCATATCTTCGAAAATTCAGGAGACTTCAATCTTTAATATCTGTTCATCTGAACACGACGTAATACGTACCTCACAAATCAAACAGTTGAAATACAGCTGTTTGAAAATAGTTTTTCTCCTTATCTATTCACTATTTTCGCAAAAGGAAAACTTTTCTTTTTTTTTTGTTTTTTTTATTGAGACGTGACTTAACAGATAATTTTATCCAAGTATTAAAGAAATCAATAACAAAATAATTGATAATGTTTGTAGAAAAAGCTATCTGATTAGAAATTGTCAATAACTAAATGTGGTTGTTATCAGATTTATTTATTAATTAAAACCACATTGCAAGCCCACAACTATCATCTTCAATTGAATATTAAGGTGGTTTGTCAAAAGACAACTGAAGTATATCATGACATAACTGTTTAATAAAATTTCTATGATCTTTAAATATAGTTTCGTATTCACTACCATCGGATGTGTCAAATTTATATCGAAAGTAAAAGCCAAAATCACTGAACGACGATGCTATGTTTGCGATCATTTCACAATTTCCATTATCGACGGCTTTTGGCAAGTCGTACATAAATACACGTAACGAACTCAATTGTCGCAACTTTGAAAGTGAATATAAAACTATTGGCCAATTTGGTTCCACATAGTTAGGATAAGTATGAAAAAGTAGAATACGAATAGAACGAATAGTTGGTGGAAATGAAGAACAATTGTTCAGACAATTAACACTATTTACGAGAGTCATATTGCGAAGAGCGGATAAGTGTATACGAATAGGTCTATTACGATAGGACAAGTGTAATGTTTCAATGCAATCTGATAGTGCCACATAAGGTAAAGAGCATATAGGTAGCGGCAATGTTTGACTTGATGCATCTAATGCACGAAGAGATGATTGATTAATTGTCGTCATTTTTTTAGAAGGTGCTTCAAACACTTGTATTTTAGTGATACATTTGTAAGGAACATATTCATGAAAGAACTCGTCAAATGCCCAAGGAAGAGTGTACCACATATGATGATCATATTGACGTCCACGCCTCTATAAATATAAAGACTATATTCAGATATAATTAAATGAAAGTTAGATCATCAGGTAAAGAACAAAAATTCTCGTTTTTCTTTATATTTTATCTTGATATAGAATCCGGAAAAATATAATCGGTTTGTAACTTACAAAAGGATCGCCATCAGTGAGCCATTCTGATCTGTCAGACCAATGATTAACAACGAATGTTGCACCGACTATATCTCGTGGATGAAAACGATGACCACGTGGTATATATTGAGTCAATTTGATGTACTGAGGACAATTTATAAGATTGAAAGCAAAATTAACATCAACATGACGATGATCCGTAAAAAGTGGTGATGAACTAATACGATTTAAATCGTTAGCATTAATAAAAATGGACACATTAGCACGTCGAAGAACAGGCATTACATTGGACGATGTTAGAGTTTCGAAAACTGTCCATTCAATTGTTAATTCCGAGAAAAATTTTTGAAAAAGAGTAAATGTATGTAAATTAACCATTCGAATCGATAGATTCGTCGTTGATATAGGAGTTTGAGTATTGAAGATACTATTACGTACTTTTACGTGTAATTGACGTAATGTGTTCGAGAGTGATGGTGTTGATATAAGATGAACTAAAATATCTATAGTCGGCAAACCAAGACGCAGATATGTAAGAGGAACTATGGCAGTGGTAATGGGCCAACGTGTCCCGTAATATTCCATGCCCAAGTCGAGAGATCGAAGTGCAGGCAATTGAAAAAGCAAAATATTATTTATTAACTGCACCATGTCGCCCAGTGGATATCTGAATTTAATCGAAGAACCATCCTGAAAAAAAGACATTGCATAATTATCATTGAATTATGAATGAAGATTAATGCAAACTAATTTTTCGATAGTGAGATTCTAAGTAGCAATGCTTTAATTTAAAAAAAATATATCGTCAACGTGAAGTCTCTATTTAAGGAACCTCTTTATGAACAATTAATATTAGCTCTTTTAAAAGTTTACCGATTCATAAAAATTTTTCTCAAAATAATTTGTCATAGCCGATAGAATCTTCAGACAATTTTCATTCTATTACACATTATCGTTGAACGAAAATTAACTTGTTCAATGTTTCATTTCACCGAAATTTCTAAAGTTACAAGCTTCAAAAGCACAAGGCTTCGCGATAGTTATTCAAACAAAATATTTTGAATATGTTAGAAGTATCAAAAGATAGTTTCGTACTCCTACCATAAAATTGTTGAAAACTTAGAGCACATTGTGATGATGAGCTTTGCCTGGTTTAATGGAATAATTTTATCATATAACTATCCGCATTTTCTCATTAAAATTCGATGGATTCAAAATATTCGTATGTATTCAAAAATGTAGCATGTTCTTTAATAAATTGATTAGCTCCATTTTCTTTTTCTCAATGAAAGATTAAATGATCGCATAGGGTTATTTCAAAATGCTTTTTTAATTCAAATAAAAAAGTTAATCTTACAAGTGAAAAATGGTCAATTATGATATTTCTATTGAAGAATCCATAGTTCTAAAATTATTTTTAATGGCATACAGGACTCAGGCACATATGTATGTGTTGATGGTACAGTTGCTAAAAGCATTAAACTAAATACTTTTTTTATTGTGTATTTTATTGATCCTGATCATTTTTGACAATTTGAATTTAACTACTTTTTTATAAAAATTTCTTTTCTAAAGAGTGACTTTGCCGTTACCTATATCTAAAAGAACAATCAATCTATGTTTCATGATATCTTTAACATATTCTATTCCAGTTTTGCTCGGATTGAAATTTTTAATTAATAAAAAAAGTTTATCTTCCACACAATCCAATAAAAGGCACGTAATTCTTGATAGAATTTTCTTACTATCTCGATTCAAGATACTGCGAACAATTTTAAAAATAGAAATCTTTCAACATTTTTCAACGCTTGCTTAAATAATCTTGTTTCTTTATAAAGTTTTGCATGTATTAAAACAAATCGTTGATACTTACCGGAACTAGTCTTGCGTTTGATTTAATGATGAGATGAGTGAGTGTGGCTGCATGAAGCAAAACAAAGTGTGAAAGATCATCATGATTATGTACACCAATGATACGTAGAGTTCTCAAACGAAGCATATAAGGCCAACGAGTTAATTGAAGTGGAGATGCATCACTATCAATTACAAGTGATTGAATATCGTTGAATGAAAGAAAACGAAGAATTGTATCAAACTGATGACGACGTGCAAGTGATAAGTTAACATGATGAAAGAAATCTCTTTCACTTATTAACATTGTTAGACGATGGTTAAGACAAGTAAATCCCCAAAGCACATCAGTAGACGACAGATATGAGAAAACTTCGATTAATACTAAGTCGGGTAGATTGTCGAAACATGTAAACAACGCCATATATTGATATAAACGGTTATTTCTGAATTGTATAACTATATTCTCCTTTTTATATTCATTGACGGGCGATTTTTTTTCTGTTTCTTCGTATTAACCGTGCAAATAAAGCATGACAATACAGGTTAAATATGATCGTTACCATGGAGACAGTGATGAATGAACGAATATTCCTTTTTTTTTCGTGTTCTATTTCATCGCAGACAGTTGACTTTCGAAATAGTTGTTCGACTATCGAATAAAAAATTTTTGGAATTGGAATAAATTCTTCAAATTTCAGAACTAGTGTTTATTTGTAACGGATGGGTGTGGGTGTGGGTGGGTGTGCGTGTGTAGGTGTGGGTGTGGGTGGGTGTGCGTGTGTAGGTGTGGGTGTGCATGTGGGTGTGGATGGACAGAAGAGCGAGAGCCACACCCACCCACACCCACACCCACACCCCACCCACACACACCCACACCCACACCCACCCACACCCACACCCACACCCATATCAACCAAAGTTTATTTTTCCACGCTATTGGCAATATTTTTATTTTATGCAGTAACGTATTTATTCTTTCAATATATCTCGCAGACTAAGAAGATGTTATGGAAAGAGAAAAGAGTAATCAAACAAAAACGATTAGTTTCGTGATGTTTATTTTTTACGGAAAAAGCACCGAAAAGCGAATATTTTAATTTTTTTCTTTCGATACATCTTTAAGTACTCTCTTTATAATAGATAGAACAGGTTTCATCGCTGCACTCTATATTGCTATATTGTAAAACATTTTTCTAACGAGAGAACAGAAAATCGGTTGCATCGAGTAAAGAAACAGACATCCTTTCTTTGTTTTTTGAATGAGGAAAAAAATGTTTTTTTTTCTCTTCAACAGATGGAAATGCATATTTTTATCCATGAAAAGGACGAAAAAAAAATATTTTATTTGTTTCACTTACTGCAAAGCATTTACTGTTCTTTAATATATGGAAGTTCTTAACAGTATAGACCGCCGCGAACACTATACGTTATTACATTTAAAGAGAGAGAAGAAATAAAAAATAAGATGTAAATTTCCATGACACTGTTGCTTTACGGACGAGGTAGCGTCGAATCATCAACTCATTTTTTTCTACTTCAATATTGCCTTGAGAAAAGAATCACCAGTTTTTTGCTGTTTTAACCAATCCAATGTTACTTTGAGAAATGAAAGGCGTATATAACGAAGAAACATTAGATTGCATCGTCTCGTTTTAGTTGAAAAAAAAAAGAATTGGTCTGTTTCAAACAACGTGCACTCCGTAATATCTGTTCAAATCATCAAACATTTGGTGAGTGTTGCCACAAACATAAAGTAGGTGATATTCGCTACTGACTGGTAGATCAAAGCGCTTTTCTCATTAATATATTAACAAAAAGATTTAAAATCCATTGCATACCAAACACCAATGTTTTCTCCAAAATATCTCATAATCTCATCTCTATAACTTGTATCGCTCTTCAAAATGATTTTATTTTGATTTTTCATGCAAAATTGGTCGTAAACACAAGATATGACAAAATCAATGTATTCTGTGGAAGATGAGTAGCCTACTCGATTAGAAAAAGATTTTTTTTTATGATAATGAAGCACCCTTTAAACACATCAGGTCTAAAAATGCGTTTAGATAGTCATTTTTTTGCAGAGTTGGAACCGCTTGACTTTATATCAGTCTGTGCACTTGTTTTTTGTGAAAAAAGTTGTGTCTTGTGCGCTAGTGAGATAGAAAATGGATTTACATAACCCTTTGGTTTCTAGTATAAGTAAACTTCATTTAGTCTATGCCATATCATATACACTCTACAAAAAAAGGTTTTTTTACTAAACCAAAAAAGGATCTTCATGCGGAGACACGGAAAGATCCAGATTTGGTTTCGTATCAAACCTCTCGTGGGCTGCTATAATAAAGGCTTCGTACCAAATCTTTTTACTAAATAGAAAGTAAGGTTTCGTACGAAGAGTTTTGTACCGACCCGTCCATCAAAACTATTAGCCTTATCGACTTACCTCTATACCGTTATTTCTATACGAATCACTTATAACTATATCTAACTCCTTATTCCCGTATTTAACCTCTTATAACTATGTCTAACCCTTGTTTCTATTTGTAATATTAATAATTACTATTGAGTATTAATTTTTTCAATTTACGAGGGAACCTTTTTAGGTGTCCTCCTCCAATTACAATGATCTTTTGCCCATAGATACAAGATAATGTCATAGTAAAAGCCCTAAAAGGATTTGGGTTTCTATTGCTTCTTTCAAAAGTTATGGCCATTTTACTCAGTTTTCGACCCATTCCTAGTTATTTACCGGAAAAATCAAATCACTCGAATACTCGAATGGTGAAATACTCGAGTGTTCGACTCGAACCGAGTTTTCGAGTTCTATATGTATGCAATCGAGAGAAATCTTATATCTATGAATTAAATAAATTAACTCTTTTGATTTATTTTATTTGGCAGTAACCTTAAGCGACTCGTTTTGCATTTTCTGAAGGTTGTATGACTATCGTGTAGATGTGATTGAATAGAAGTCTCGTATACTCCAGTCGTTACATTAAAATGACAAAGTCATGGCATTTTGTTTATACACCGAATAATTACGTTTGTTTTGACTCATGTAATGGTTCAGAAAGAAAAAACTACGTCAGCATCGACTTCTTCTTCTCTTCAGCAAGAAATATAAATATATGTACATTCGAATAGAAAAAAAGAGAATAGTCAGCCAGTCTCGATTTTTTTTATTTCAAGGTGATTCATTTTTGAAGCAAGCGAATAAACAAAGTAAGTTTACAGTGCAATAAAAATCATGGCAATCCAGGTCGAAACGGCCCAACAGGATCCTGTCGGATCCCTAATAATACGACATTATCCACGGTCGGATCCGACGGGTTGCCGATAGTCTGAAACCGGTAATATTCTTTGATTTCCTACGTTTTCCGACAGTCGGATTCCGATAATAGGATCCGTCGTCATCCGACAACTGGGAACCTATCGGATCCGACACTATCCGATAATATCCATGTTGTCTGGCTCATTCTGATCGATGTTCAAAACAGACTTTAATCATACTTTGAGAAATATTAAAGAATTTTGTTTACGGTATATTCCAAGAGTAATGTGATTCTTCAAAGAAAATATTCTATATTGTTTTCATGCAAGTTTTATTAAATTGGTGCGATATCTCTATGCCTTGTTCCAGTTGGTGAAGCGAACGAATAACCCAAATAACGATTTCTATCATTCATTCAACTTCTTCTTTCGATGTTTTTGAAAGTTTGAAAAGTTGTTGTTATTTTCCGGAACGAAATTTCCGCTTTTCCCATTTCTTCAAAAGATCTTTGTACATTGTTTCGTCTTTATTATCAAAGACATCGATCTTTTTCATAGATAAATCTTTAAAAAAAAAGCGACTTTTATTATTCTGTTGATTGTAGATTGATGTGATTTTTCCAAATAGCTATTTCTTGATACATCAAAATAAGTTCAATAGATTTATTATGGAAGGTATTTTTTATTCTCATATATTGTCTCTATTTTTTTAAATTTTACTACCAAATGCTTCAACACAACAATGTACAAGTATATAGGTATGTTATATTATCTTTTTGTTCACTCCCAAATTACTCAATTTGATTGAGTTCAGTAAGGACTATTTTGCGCGAAAATTCGTTTGTTCAAATCGTTTTTTTTGAATTTCACAGTACCGCGTAAGGGAGAATTCTATATTGACATGTAATATACTGATAATATAACATGCTTTTTTTTACTTATGTAATTTTTCCTGTAGCTACATTATATCGGTTAGAAAAAGCATTTCTTGTCTTTTCTATGAATGATAGTCTATCTGAAAAACTTGTCTTTCAATCATTTGTTTCTGTTTCTTAATTCAATTTTGTTATTAAGGCATATTATCAGTTAGCAAAAACATTTTTTCTGTCTTTTGATTGTTTTTTCTATAATTGATTATTTTGGAGAAAAAAATTGTGTTTCAATAATTTATTTTTTGCCACTTCTTTTAATTTTTTGTTATTACGTGTTGTCGGTTAGGAAAACCATTTCTTTGTCTGTCGTCTTTTTTTATAACTGATTGTTTACGATGAAAACCCTTGTCTTTGAATCATTTGTTTTTGTTATTGTATGTTACCGTTTAGGAAACGAGCAGATTCTTCATGTCAATAGAAGTTATGTATCAAGACCAACAAAAAGAGTTACAAGCTCGATGTCTTATTAAGCTATATATGTGGGGCCGATTAGTCTGACTAGATATCCTAATTCTTTTTTTGTCATGCTGTTTCGACTAAACATCAGATAAATATGATTTTTTATCGGTTATAGTGCTCGTATAGTGCTGATGACCTATTAAGAATAAGGGGTCTGTATCCCGTCTGAAACCAAAATAATCAAGCGTCTTCGTAAAATCTTTTCATAAATATCAAAAGATTTTATAACTACACTTGATTGTATTGGTTTTGGACAATATATAGATATAGACTCGTCATCTTTAACAGATTATCAGTAGTATACGAGCACTCTAACTAGAAAAAAAATATATTATCTGATGTATAGTAGAAACAGTATGAATAAAAAAAGGAATTGGGACATCTGGCCAGACTAATCAGCTCTATATGTATATATTACGTATTGAAAAATAAGAGTCTGATGAGTAAGTATCCATACTACAAACAATACCTTGTTTGGCTATACAAATCTAACAGGATCCCATCGAATTCTCTACTTTCCAACACCTTCCGATTGTCGGATCCGACTGTCGGAAATTGTCGGATTATTTAGGAAATACTGCAGAATCCGACGGGATCCGAATCCGGGATTGCTCGTCCTGGGAAGATTCGGCGCCATATTGTTGTTGTTTTCTTTTCTTGGTATTATTTAGTACTCGGTCGACTTCCATTTGAAATTATTTTATGTATAGTCCTATACGAAACAAGATTTTTTTGCTGAGAATGTTTGACCATTGCAAAAGAATTAAGCATAGTAGAGGTCTACAATCTGGATCACATTTAGGCTCGGATTCGAAGCTTTCTTCAAGAATCAATTGATCTCCTAATTGTTTTATGACTTTGTTTTAATTAGAAAATTGTAAAAAAACTCGAGGTTCGTTATTTTCTCTTGGGCACACTTCAACTAGAAAATGAGAAGAACTGCAACTAGAAATAAGACATTCGTTTGAATTTTTCTTGGAAAAGCTATGGAAAGGTTTATTCATCTATGAACATTTTTTGAGACTTTACCATCTAAAAAATATTTTTACGTTTGTTGTTTTTAGATCCATATAAATCTCGATCAATTAACAAAGATGAGTAATCAGGCGTCAGCACACATCGATTCTTCGTCATGCATTGAATGGACGTGGTTATCAGACTCGAATCCATCGGTGGCATCTCAGTCAATCGAATGGAGTCGTTACTCGGATGTGGAAAATCGTATTATCGAAGAAGCATTCAGAGCTGGACTACCGATTGCTACATTAGACGATGCCTACATTGATTTTGAAAATAGCATTCAAGTGTCTAATAATGATATTAACGATCAAAGACCTATCCAACGACAGGTGCGGCATAGAACTGATACACATTTACGAGAAGAACGTTTTACGATAAATCCAATTCCAGCAAAAAATCCCTTTAGCGGTCTAAATGGTTGGACTTCTGATTTCATAGTACATGCGAAAAAAGAGTTGAAAATGAAAAAAGATCAATTACCATCAAATAATCCAAGAATAATTCCAATGCTTGTTGACAAAGCCGCTCAAGGTATTATTGAAGAAGGTAAAAATGCAGACAAAACACGTGAAGCTGAATGGATGGCCAATCAACTGATGCAAGAGAAAAATAATGGATTGAAAAAAATCTGGAAGTGTTGCGCTCGTCTTTACACGATGGAAAGTTTTTTGTACAAGAAAATCAATGAGACGATGAGATTAATAGGAAGTAAAGAACACGAAAATGTCTGGAGAAGCAAAATACGCACATTTGGACCGTTCTGTATACTCCTGTGGGATGATCCTTACAATCATCTACCACTCACTGGAGACAAAATGCTATATCGAGGAGCTAATTTATCCGATGATTTGATCGCCCAGTATGTCAAACTTTCTCGTAGCTCTGATCAAAGAGGTTCCTTTCAAGCGTTCACTTCGTCTAGTCGAAATAGATCTAAAGCTGAACAATTTGGTAATGTTTTGTTCGTCATGCGAGTCAATTATGCTTATACAACAGATCTTAGCCCATTATCTGAATATCCAGATGAAGAAGAAGAACTTATTCATCCTGGTGTTTGCTTCACTATTGATGGTGTTCGTTATGATGCCATCAAGAATAAAAATGAAATCTATCTAACTCTTAAACATAATGTTGATGGTAAGTGTAAAAATTTGTCTGTCTATCATATTTATAGTTAATCGTCATTGAACTATTTTGATTATTTCTGTTTGTAAGCATAACTTTTTTCGTAGCTAAGAAATCCTTCGCCATGGAACTATGGTTGAGTACTGAATAAGATATGCTTGAGACTGGAAAATTCAAAATGATAAATAGATGCTCCGAAAAATGCAACTGCTTTTTTATTTTTTTCATTCAGTACCTTAAGAGTTCTTTTTCATAACATTTCAGAATTTTCGCTCTATTGCTCATGAGGTAATCTCAACTTTGGTCGAAAGGTAAAATGTCGAAAACGAAAGTGATTGTAAAGGGAAGGATCAAAGAGTATAGGTGAGGGCGATGGAGATTCTTACTGTCATTTGTTATATATCAACTGTTCTAAATTTGTACCATTTTTATTTTCTATCAAAGTTTAGAGAATCTTAAATTTTGTCTATGGAGCCGTTAACACAGTGTCATTAACGATTGCAAGACGGTTTCAACAAGATCAATCGAGAATGCACAAAATAATTCCCTTCATCATCGTCGTGCATTATACAAGTGATTGATATCTATACTTGAACACTACATCACCGCATATAATTAATAATTCTGATGAATTTCATTAAAATTTTGAAATTGCTAGGCAGCCATACGCGAGAGAAAATATCCAAACTATCATGTACAATATCAGCTAAACAACTCTGGATCGCGAAATAGCTTGGGCAAGTTAATACACGCTTTCATAATTCTAGATATAGATAAAAAGATTTTTTTTGCTGGATCAGCCATGCTGATGAGAGATTTTTTTCGTTTAGATGATCGTGCCAATCCTGCTGTTCGTCTTTATAATGGTTTTTGCCGTGCTAGTAGTGCGATCTTACTGCCTCTTATGGATGCTGTGAGTGCTGCACGTCCTGGTCCTAGTGCTGGAGGTGATTATCGTATTAGTCGTATGACTAATGGTGGCTTTTATCGTGATCGTAATGGTACACTTCGTGAAGATCCTACTGGTACTCTTGCTGATGATTGTTATCGTCGTGCTCAGAAAGTTCCTCGTTATGATCTTGATTAAATTCATCAATGTTCTATTTGACCTTCTATCATCTTTACAACTTCTTAAAAATTTTGATCCACATCAACAATAATAGTACCACTACTGCGTTTGCCGTTGGTTATATCATAGTGTACTTTTCTTTTCTTTAGCCTTGTGCCAACTATCAAAATTTCATGTACGTTCTCTTTGTTCATATTCACATCAAAGTCTATTCTCGAGCGCATGTTCCATTCTGTGCACGCAAGAAACTAATATAACTCGGATAAATCGATTTTACTTCTAAAAGACAGACAAATATACCAAAATTAATCAATTTGAGTTCACATAAAATACGAATATACTATAAATAAACAGATTTAACTTCACAAGGGTGTGGGTGTGGGTGTGGGAGGGTGTGGGTGTGGGTGTGTAGGTGTGGGTGCGGGTGTGTAGGTGTGGGTGTGGGTGTGGGTGCGTAGGTGTGCGTGTGGGTGTGGGTGCGTAGGTGTGGGCGTGGGC